GGGGGATAAATTAGGAATTTGGGATTAGTAGATACAAAGTGATATATATACAAAATAAGCAACAAGGTCCTACTGTATAGCACAGGGAACTATATTCAATATCCTGTAATAACCCAAAATATGAAAGAGAAAGATATATATATATATATATATATATATATATATATATATATATATATATATATATAACTGAATCACTTTGCTGTACACCAGAAACTAACACAACATTGTAAATCAACTATACTTCGATAAAAAAATATGTTCTTCTTTACTTTTAGGATTTTTTTAATGAATTAATTTTTTGGAGGCCAGGGATAAATTATATAATGAGACATGCCAGAATTCTTAAAAAACGATTGCAAAAATCTCACAATTAGAGCAGATCTACAAGAAAATGTTTTCTCAATCTGTGCTGCTATTGTGTCCTTCTGTGGCCAACCAGTAAGATATTAAGCCCCCAGCCCAAGGAGCGAACGTGGGCAGCAAGTAGGAAAGGTGGTAATAAGGGAGCCAAGGAACCCTGTTTCTTTTTCCACTTTCCTCTCCACCCAGAGATGGTACCTATGAGCTGTGAACTGTCTGCCATCCCACTTTGGAGCAACCTAACTTGGTTGAGCAGAATTACCGTGATATTCCCCCTGTTCTTGCACTAGAGAACCAACTTTATGTGCCAGGGTCAATTTTCTTAAGGGTTAGGGCCAAGGATAGTCAATTGGCGACTTCATTTTCAGTAAGATAAATTGATATTATAAACAAACAAAAAATACATAAATAAGAATGAAGAAGCCCTCTTAATTCCAATTTTATTTCCACTTTTCCCCAAACCTCCCTTTGATCTCCATTCCCATGGTCATCCTACTTATATTTTTAAATTGTTCTTAGAACGTAATGTAAATGTCCATAAAATCCTGTCATTCCCGGTAAAACAAATATCACCATTTATTGGCTGTTTCAGTTTTACTCACCCTACCAAAAATAAGAAAATTGCGTCATGTAAATAAATACAGAAATAATACCAGAATATTTTTTAAATGCCAGAATTATCCATTTCAGAAATGAGTTAGGTGGAAGCCTTACTAGAAAATAAGATGGCATTAGATTGGATGCCTATCCTTCATCCCGTTACCAGCTGATTGCCTTTTTCCACAACCATGGTCTTCCCAACCAAAAGCAATTCTTGCTAGCTGTGGTCAGAGTTGAGGAAACTAATTTTTCTTTTTCACAAGAAGGGCACTGAATGATTTAAAAATACATTCAACTAGTTTAACAGCTTCTCTTCTACTTAGCTGAAAAAGCAGCTGGAGACCACTTGGCTGTTCCTCAAAGCACCAGTAAGTCAGCGTGTTCCATGGAGAACAGAAGTGAGCATCCTGATTCAAACCAAACACCCAGACATTTTCTCACCCAGGTTTACTGAGCTGAGGATTGACTGTTCCTTAGTTTCCTAGGGCTGTCTCTGTTAAATTTTCATATACTGGGTGCAATAAAACAACAGTAATGTGTTCCATCACACTTCTGGGGGCTAGAAGTTTGAAATCAAGATGCCATTAGGGCGACACTCCTTCTGAAGGCTCTAAGGATGAATCCTTCCTTACTTCTTCCTGGCTTCTGGTAGTTTCTGGTGATCCTTGCTGTTCGTCAGCGGTAGATACACCACTTTGATCCCTGCCTCTCTCTTCACGTGGCCTTCTTCCTGTGTGACTTTGTGTATTTCTCGACTCTTCTCAGAGGGACACCAGTCATTGGATTTAGGACCCACACAGATCTAGTAGGACCTGACCATAACTTAAATAATTACATCTGTAAAGATGCCATTTTCAAATAAGGTCACGTTCTGAGGTTATGAGTAGACATGAATTGTGGAGGAACAGTTTTCAACCCACTACAGTTCTTAAGGTTAAGTCCAAAATAGGTAAGCCTGGTTGCCAAGGAACTCAGAATAATAAGCAAATGTCTTGTCCTCGTGTGGGAAAAAGTACCCACCAGCTGGGAGTAATTTGGGAGTAATTTCAGCTTCCAAAGGAAAATAGCTTCACCATAAAAGCCACAGAAAGTGTTCACTTGTGCGTGAAAACATAATAGGATAACTTTATTCTATTAGCATTTTATTGAGGTTTCACATTAAAATATATTGAATTAAATTACTAATGTATTAAGAAGTGTTTTAG